TTGTGTCATAAAAAGGCAGATCAAGTTCACGAAAAGGAGCATTCTAGCTCAAAAGCAAAATTTTAAAAAATCAAAAACAACAGGTCCCAAAAATGCCGATTTTTGAAAATGTTTTTTTAACGGTTTCCGAAGGGGTAACTCATCAAAGTAGAGCCCTCGGACTAAAATTTTGTCCGTTATGCTCTCTCATACCGTTACGGCGCTAGAGGGTATTTTTGCCGAAATTATGCGAAAAAATTACAACCCCCTGCTAAGTCGTAGAAATAGGTCTCAAATCGAAAAGTAGATGAGAAACAGCGAGTTCCTCAAAGTTTTCCCTATTTTCTAAAAAAATGGACATTGTTTTTACCGTGTGTGCGGGTGCGGGTGTAGCGGAAAAAAAATTACGTCTCGCGGATCTCCTCTGTCATACTCGCTCTGACTATTCTTAACTTATTTATTTCTAAGTACATAAATACCTACGTTTTTACGCAGCATGATTACTGACTAATGTGTTGCTTATTGTGTATATTTCTGTGAAGTAACATGCTAAAATAAAGAAATTATTTCGCATTATTTACTGATGATAAAAGGTGTCAGTGGCTTATAAATGTTGTTAAACAGCAGAAAATATTGACAAAAACGTCAAAAATATCGGTCACAGGCACAGGATGACAGTGTTCGAATGGCACATACACTCAAAATGTAAAGGAGCCTTTTCTCGTGCTTTAAACTAGCAAAAAAGTGGTTTTCCATATATAGCCGTAGAAGAGATCTATGGACCAAAACGTGTCATTTACAGACAAATTGTATCGTAAGATGGCCCAAAATGTTCCTTACAATTTGTTCCGTCCTTTGAAATAAATTTGTCGCGAAACGAGCAACGGATTTAAAACGTACACTCGCTGGGATGAACGTCTTGCCCACAAAAGAGGAAACAAATTTGTCCACGATGAGAGAACAAATTTTTAAACTGTTTACTATAACGACACAATTTTGCCTCTCGTTGGGTGCGTGTAAAAGCGTTATTCGGCGGATGAAATTGTTCTCTTACATTTAGAGTGTACTTCTTTTAATAAAGTTAACTTTCGGGCGCGGGAATTTAATTAAAAACATGGATATCAGACGCACCCTTTTCAGAAAACCGGTCGCTCAGTCCATATAGAGAGTCCACCACACGGAGGTGAAAATGTCCCACGTGTCCTCTATGGATACGACCCGGACACCCGGACACGACTCGGACACGGCACTGACACGATAACGGCACGGCCGGCGGCTGGACGGGGTTCCCGCTCCGCTGTGCCTCTCCGCTCGGCGAGTGAACGCTGACTGGAAGGGAGGCTGGGCCCGGAGCGCCTAGTGGCCGCCACGCGCAGCGCCTGGCGCGAGGGGGCCGCGAGCCGGAGGACCCGAGCAGCGCGGAGTGGCGCAGCCCCAGCAGCCCCAGGAATAGTCCAGGAACAACAATACTGCACTTAATGATTCATCTTTCAAACTTTGCACATTTGCTCTAGGATTTGGCTCGAGCGCAGGCATACGCTCAGACCGGACAGACAGACACCAGCAATAGTCAATTTTAGTTCGACTTTTCAAAATGTCGGTCAATGTAAACCAAGTTATGGTAGTGGTCAACTTGAACTCATAGTAGCTCGTTTGAAAGCTCTTTTCACGAGAAATCTGAAAATACTTTCTTATGTTGTCCATCTGAAAGGAAATATTAGCCAATAAACTAAACGTGATCATTGATGATTGCTGATGTATCAGCAATCATGCCATGTGCACTTATATATGAGCAACCATCAGGCGCGTCGCGTAGGAAGGTCCAAAAAGCTGGGGGGGGGGGGGGCTATTTACAAGGCGGAGTGTAAAGGTTATTGAAAAATTTGAATAAGGGCATTAAGATTATGCAATTAATAGGAATAATAGGACACTAAAATTAGCACGAAATGAAAGAAATTGTTATTGTCGTTTATTTAAAATTGTAGTACACAATACACATTGACTTTCCTCCGGCCCGGACTCGCCTCGTTCGTTGGGCTTTGCGTGGCGTGGCCTGCGGCCTGCGCGTCGTGCGAGGGGCCTTCACTCAAAAAAAGTCAGTGGGTTACCCGGGTACCCGGTGGAACCAGTACGTCAAATTGCCTAACTTACAGGCGCGGTTCCGCCGGGTACCGCCGACTGGGCTGCCTACCTGCCAGGCGCCCCACCAACTACCCACTGTAAATGCTTGTAAACACCTGACGCACATGTTCATACTGTAAATACCCGTATGCCTCGCGAGGAGGCCGCCGGTTATAGGTCGGTGGAACCCCCAAGCGGGCCAAGTTCTGTCGCCGTACGGGGCTGTACTCCTTTCTCCCCCTGGCCTTGGTAAGCTAGAGGACACTAAATCAAAGCATTAACTATACCACCATCCAATCACCCCTTCATCATTGCTCCACCCCATACCCTATCACCCGTTAAAAATAAGTAAATACTGTAAGGCCTACGGGCGGCAGCACACCAATTAACCCATGTAAATCTAAATGTAACAATTTGACGTCAATAAAACCATTTTGAAAACTAAAAAACCCGGGTACCCGCTACTACCCGCAGACCTGGTTCCTACCCGGGCGGGTGGGTACCCGAGTTACCCGGTTCTCCAGGTAAAAGTGAAAGCCCTGTTCGGTGTTCACTACGCAAAACTACGGGCCACTTTTACATGGTGTTTCTAAACTTAACCGTGGAATTTTGAACAGAATATGCAGCTAACGGTGCAACCAATGTCATCTACATTCTTGGTTTTCGTACAGTAAAATCAGACGTTCAGTCTGGATTACCGGTTACTCTCACAAGAACAACGATACTGTTTTTAGGCATGCAACATGTCCTAAAAAACTATACACGAAGTTGAAGATCGCGGGGATAGTACCACCTGGAGGTCACGCTACTAATCATTCATTATACGATGGTTAACGTGAGGAGTATGCGGGACTAGCTAACATGCAGCGAGTAGTATCATGGAGGTCATGACATATTTGAACGAGTAGTTGCTAACTGGACATAATCATGGAGAGGGGAGAGGGCAGGGTAGACTAACAGGAAATCACGAGAGGGTACACTGTTAAAAATATTAGTGATTTTACAGACATTTTGGTAAATTTATTACAGAAGTGGTGGGGCAATTTTACAGACTATGGTAATTTTCCTGCACATTTCATGTAAAATTACTATTTTGGTAATTTTACAGGAACTGTATAGTAAAAATACCCAAAAAGTGTACTTTTACCTTCGAATGTCTGGTAAATTTACCGAAAGTCTGTAAATTTACCACAAACTTGTAATTTTACGGTATTTTCCATGTAATTTTCCTTAAATTTACTTGTAAATAAGAATACCGGAAAGTGATTGTAACAAAAAGACCAAATTGTCAGCTCAAAATGATGCGTAGTGGTTTACCATAGTCGCTTGGTGGTACGCAAAAGTATTGCTGTTTGAGCCTCATACTACGTTTAAAACATTATGCACTTAGAGAATTTGTAAACTATGCGTCGCGCAAATATTGGTACCTTTATCCCCCGCTTGTCAAAATGAAGTTTAAAAAAAATAAAGTATGGTTTGAGAACAATACGGTAAGTCGGCAGCTGCGGGAAATCCGTGCTGTGTCCCTATATCCGCTGCTGCATCCAGCGAAAAAGGCCCCAGAGCCGGCTGTAGAGGCAAACCGGTGGCTGACGCTGCCCTTCCAGCGGGTAGCTCGTAGCCTAGTGGATAAGGTAACGGGTTTCCAACGGGAAGGTCCGGGGTTCAACTCCAACCAAGGTAAAGTGATATTCATTGTTTGTGATGTATGTAATCTTGTAATGTGCTGATGAGGGGTAGAACTGTAAGCAGAACTACAAAATCCCACCAGTACCGAGAAAAATATTCTTTATGTTTTTTTTGAGGATGCCATACTTTACAGCAAAAATCTGTAAAATTTTACAGACAAAAAGTGGGAAAAAAATTACAGATAATTACCGGAATGTAAATTACAAGTGTTCTGTAATTTTACAGACTATGGTAATTTTACCATAGAAAGTCTTGGCAAATGGTATACCCAGACTTTTCCTGTAAAATTTTCGATTTTTTTTTAACAGTG